ATATATCCGCTACATCGTGTTTGTTGCGTACATTCTGTTTAAGGCTGGCGGGTAGGCCGATTCAAAACCGATACAAGAGACCAATCTAGTGTTTCTATTATGTAAGGTATATTATATAAAGTCACACTTACCTAAAAGTTGCTCTGGTCATTTTTATAATTTTAGTGGCTGTTGGTAGAAGTACTGGTTTTGTTTCTGTGAAAGGTGTATTATTGCTTTCGATGTTACGAACGCGTTCATTTCCGCAACGAACTCGAATGTGCCGTACTAATCTTACCACGGGATTACCTTCGCGACCGAGGATTAGAGCCAGCGTTACCTGAAATCAAGTCATAAATGGATGGGGAATTTTTCTCAATGAAAATAGCTTATTATCAATTCAAATCATGATTATTTTTAAATAGTTACTAGTATAGGATGTCTTCGATCGAATCTTTACTTCGAATGCAATTGCTAAATGAACTTTTAAGATGATTACATCAAGAGCCTACACCAGATATCTGCTACAACCCAAAACCACTGGCAGAGTTTTCGGCTTGGAATGAGCTTAAGCAGGTCCGATTGCAGCAACGATTCTAAGAAGAAGGCTCTTTGTTTCCAGGTTTTGATTAGTTGTTCAGGGATAATCATAGAAATTTATAGAAAAGCCTGCAACGGTGAAGTTCGTTGTCTATGCCTAAAGTAACTTCGTTTTATTTTACTTTTCATCAGCTATCATACGGACGCTTTAAGAATGAGCCAATCTAATAAAGCGATGTCTCTGAGCTAAACTATGATAAATAAACGAGTAATCAAGTCCGAACTATTCACAGTTTTCGACGCTACATCCACTGAGTATGCAACGAGTGTCACAAAGCATGAACCGCCTTTAGGGATCTTTGCGGAATCCTTTATCTTCACTTGTAGGATTTCCGACGCCTCCAAAATGAATGCCTTATTCAATTGAATGTCGTAGTCCTTACTGCAAACCTCCAAGTCGACTGTAGTAGGCTCGCCAGGTTCACTTTCTATGAATATTACGTCACCCGTTTTTTGACCATCAAGCCACGTACTAAGGCCTTCTTTTTCACGAGTAAGTTCTGCCCTGTACCAAACGAAAAACAGAAGAAAGACGGAGTTGCCACAAAAAGGTCACGCATATTGAATGCAATTTTCTCGCGTTACGTGCTCTGTATAGGTCACGAATAATTTTCATTTACAACTGAATCCAATATGATTTTCCGAATAAATAAATAGCGCCACTAGGCCACACAAGTTTTTTCGTACAGGAACGAGCTAGTTTTGTACGAATAAGTGGGCTCTTCATTAAGATCAATGGAGAAATGCTTATTTGGCTAAAGAAATCTGCACTGTGTAGTGCCATGTTAACTGCTTCGAAAGTTACGCTTTCATGAAGCTTCTCTAGGCAGGACAAAGCCGGGTCAAGAAAAACCCAAAGGTTAACACATCCGACGGTCGCATTCTGTTAAAACACTGAGGGATAACTCTATGTTTTCTTATGCCAAGCTGATGCCGGTATAATTATTGCGATGAAGCACTTAACCGCAATAATTACACTTAACTACAAAATTTATGTAACTGTAACTATACCAAGCGCTCCGACACGCCTAGGCCATGAAAGTGCTAAGTTTGATAAAAAGTTCTTACAACCAATATGTCTTTCTTGTTAGAAAAACACATGGTGGCGAACCTAATCCCAATCTCATCGCTTTATATATATATGTAATTGCAAATAATGACTCCCCCTTTCGTATATACATTATTACTTCTGGGTAATTCTATGTCAGCCTATAGAAAAATAATAATCATCGTAACTAACCGTTTGGAAGACAGGTAATGCTTTATTAAGCCGATTTCATGTGACAAGCTCTTGACGTGCCGGTCCCTGTCAGTCGGGAGTACGTTGACACCGCAGTACTCGCATCGTACGGTTTGTCGGCTTTTTAACATGTTGACACACTGCGGGCAGCAGTTATCGTAGAATACTCTAAAATATAGCTAATATTAAGAGATGTTAATAAAGCATCCTTTTTTTTTTATTTGCGTGCAGCTTAGATCACGCCACGTATTTCCTTTGATGCCAAGGGAAGTCTTATAAATACGTAATCGCATGGTGTACGTATTTGTTGAATAGACTTTATCAAAAAATTCTATTCTAACCTCAGCAATATATCGTTACAGATTTAAGTTCACCAAATTAACTAATTTGTGTAACCATTCTCAAACATTATGAAACCTTTCCTTGGGAGACTCAAGTAATAGAAAAGATGCTTGACTGGCAACGTTAAAAAGCAAGGTGGTTAGTTTTCACGTTTTCCATATGCAGGATTAAAAAAATGCTAATGTTAAATCAACATGTTTCCTTAAGTTCATTAGTATTGAGTGCCTGTAACAACGAAACAAGAGCAAGAGATTCCACTTCAGCGACAGCACTGATAATATAAACTAATTAGTTGAACGCCTTTTCTTAATGAAAACTGTTGTGCGTAACTTGCGGTGACGTTTTTCATTCACAGTCTTTTGATGCGGATAGCCAACCTGGAAAGTTGTCTCTTGCCATTGCTTAGAGCCACTTTTATCGTTTCGCTGGGCCAAAGAAGTTATTTGCGTTTAAATCCCAAATATGGCTGTATCTGGTGGGAAAAACAGCATGAGCCAAGTGGGCTCAACAAATAGCTAAGAAATGGTAAAACAAATTATTGCTGGAAAACACTCACGTACTAGCTATTTCACCGGGTATCCGTATTTATCGACACTCAATCAACGTTGGCATAAAGTTCTTTAATAAGCTCACTAGGGAACAGCATACGTAATAACACTGTTAAGTAAACATTTAAATAACCAACTGATTACATCGAAGCTTCGCGCTCAATCTGCATCAGTATTTCAGATTACTTGCTGAATTTTTAGTTTATATTGTATCCGTTCTTAACAATTTGGACACCAACAATTTTGACTCAAAGATCATCAACCTCATTATGCGCAACAGCCCATTGGACGTGAAAAGCAATCGTTACATTCACGGGGTAATTTTGTTCAGTTGTACTTTCTAATTGGAACAATTTACTGTGAGTTCATTTATTTGATAAATTTTTACTATACCGTCATTGTCTTGCTGAGACTATTCCAAACTTCTTAAATAAAGTAATGTTGATTGAAAATTTCCCGCCATTTTTGCTTCCCATTCCCTCGCCTTTTCGCTCTCTCTCTCGTTCTCTCCATTAAAAAACACAGCCGCCTAAAACGAAGACCAGGAGCCAATTCACTGGGTGTCACAATGTGCATCGAGAGTTTTATTTCTTAAAACTCGGCGCTAGTTTACACTGTCGTTGGTCCTCACAGATTGTCCGCGGCCTATAAATAGCAATAGTACGAGCTAGTGATTTACTTCTTTGGTGATTCGCTGCGTTTACACGTGCGCGAGGATGTCGCAAAAACGTCATGCTCCGCTCGCGGGCGCCACGGCGCCCGCGAAAGCCTTCAGAAAAGCCGAGGAAGATGGTTAGTTTTCACCGTTTTTCATATGCAGGTAGTTTGCTACAAGCTAGTATGTATGGACTAAAAACGGGCGGCTATAAGAAATGCACCTGATATGTGGATGATTACGCGAATGTGTCGTACGCCTTGTTGCATCGAGGATTTGATCGAATCCCACGTATAGAAGACTAAACTTCGTTCACGTAACTTGGTCTGGCGTCACGTGTCTCCTATTTGAAAACGTTAGATCAGCTGACATAAATATTACTGTAATTACAAAAGACGATCTTGACATGAAACAAGTTCACGATCATTGCTTAGTAGCCAAGTCCTGTATATAACTGTTCATTGACTTGCTGAGTAGTTATTTGGTAATTGGGTAGGCAACATATATTTGGCTGAAAGAGTCTTTAGCTCGAACCCTGCCAATGGGGTGTACTACTATATTAAACACAGAAATATATATATTATAGAACACCCTATTTCGTGGAGTAAAGTTCTGGTAGCCGATAGTGTTATTTATACTAAATATGAATTACAGTTGTGCGTTGCAGTACAATCGTTCTAGTTTGTATTTTACAGCCATTATTTACTATTAATGGCGTCACGCTGCACGAAACTGGTTTTCATACAGAGATAAACAAGCCACGTAAGAGAAGGTCACGTTAGTAGAAAATTTTATAGAAAAGACTGTTCGAAAATGAGTTCGAGTTGTTTCTAGCATTGTACGTGAAGACGCGTGCAAATATTCTAGTAGAACCGAAATTACTATCTCATCTCAGATGCGCATCATACGAAATAAAAACGGATACCGAATTTGTATTACGTGTTCAAGATAAGTTTTTGCTTTTGCAACCTCTCAGTGGTAGATCTTCTGAATCAATTGTATTTCGCAGTGTTGCAAAACGTCAGATCTGTTATTTAAAATCAAATAAAAATGAAATTAATGAAGACATCTTGACGGCGTTTCAAAATTTCAAAAAAAAAACAAAAAACAAGACAGCTTTTCGTGTGTGGGACGTCGCCTCATTACGAACAACTATCGTTACTTTGAAGTTGTTTGTTCTGAATATACAGTTTATCAAGTGTAGTTGGCTTTAATCGATTATATTATAATTGCTACAGATAAAAACCCTTACTGTTATCATTATTGATGTGTGGTTCTAGGGGAAATGGACTTCGAGTCACAACTTGCTATGATGGAAGAATTTGAAGAGGAGGAAAAGGAGCTCAAAAAAATCGATCTTTCCCAGGTAAAACAAACACGTAAAACGTTAAAAGTTATTTAGCAATTTTTATTAGATTATTAATTAACTCTCGCCAGATAGTGCTAAATGAGCAAGAACAATTCTGAAAATAGAAATGCTTTATAAGTAATTGTAAATATCTAAAAAAAATGTAAAAAAAGTAATATGAATAATTTTATCCATTACATTTTTCAAAGTAGGCTAGAGCGTAGGCAGTCAAGATCAATGAAACATAACAAAATGACATGTAAGTTAATAATTAATAATCACAGTACATTTGAACAATCTGTAATGCTGTAAAGGCACAGCCTAAGCAAGTTACCTAGGCTTGCTTTCAGGTGTGGTTATCGAATACTCTCTAACATTAAAATATCGAAGTAGGCATTTATCGATTATATTTTTATTTTTCTAATCATATATACGGTAGCATTACAAACTATCATTGTCTTCGAAAAGTGTCGATTTCAGATTAATTTTTCTCCTCTCACAATCTGTGTCATGTTGCAGTGTCCCCAAAATGAGGTTGGTTCACATCGCTGGGGTCGGCCGCGCGCTCCCCCACTTGACCCGAAAATGACAAATCTTGAGTTCCAGCAGGTCGATCTCGACCACTACCTGGGTTCCGCAATGCAGGGCATGACAAACGTGAGCTCTGAGACAGTAGCCATTACACGAATGTTCGGAACCACTGATGAGGGGCACAGTGTCGTTTGTCATGTTCACGGTTTTCTACCGTACTTCTATGTAGAGGCACCTAGTGGCTTCGAAAAAAAGCACCTTGAGGAGTTCCGCCAAAAACTCAACCGTGCTGTAATTGAAGATATAAGGGGTTCGAAGAGTGTCAGCGAAGCTATTCTTGAGTGTAAACTGGTTAGCAAACAGAATATCTACGGATACTCTGACCTAGGACTTCAACCGTTCATCAAAATCACTGTTTTGCTGCCTCGACTAATCGCTCCTGCCAGACGACTTTTGGAGACCGCTACTGTCTCTACTTCGGCCCATCCTTCCCATAATTATCGGCCATTTGAGGCAAACATTGATTTCGAAATTCGCTTCATGGTAGACACACACACGGTTGGTTGCTCGTGGATTACCCTGCCAAAGGGTAAATACAAGCTGAGATCAGACGCCGAAATAACGTCTTTATGTCAGTACGAGGCTGATATCAGATGGACCGACATGGTGAGCCACCAGGCGGAAGACAACTATGCGCGAGTGGCACCCTTTCGAATTCTAAGCTTTGATATTGAGTGCGCGGGTCGGAAAGGTGTCTTCCCCGAGCCCAGCAAAGATCCCGTCATTCAGATTGCTTCGATGGTCATTAAGCAAGGTCAAAAAGATCCGTTTATACGAAACATTATGACCTTAAATAGCTGTGCTTCTATAGCCGGTGTTGAAGTAATGTCATTTAAGACTGAGTCGCAAATGCTCGAGAAGTGGGCTACTTTTATTCGCCTTGTCGATCCGGACATTATTACAGGGTATAATATCATGAACTTCGATTATTGGTATCTTGTTAATCGGGCGAAACACTTAAAAGTGAAGACTTTCGCCTACCTTGGCCGTATTAGGGGCAGTGAGTCGGTGATCCGCGAAAGCACGCTACAATCGAAACAAATGGGTAGACGTGAAAATAGGAATATTACGATGGAGGGACGAGTAAACTTTGATCTACTGCTCGCTCTGCTGCGTGACTACAAGCTTCGTAGCTATACACTCAATGCGGTATCATACCATTTTCTGCAAGAGCAAAAAGAAGATGTGCAACACAGTATAATTACTGATTTGCAGAACGGCGATGATCAGACTAGACGTCGGCTCGCTGTCTATTGCCTCAAGGACGCTTTGCTACCGCTACGTCTACTGGACAAACTCATGTGCATAATTAACTATATGGAAATGGCGAGAGTGACCGGTGTCCCGCTGTCGTATCTGCTTTTGCGCGGTCAACAAATTAAAGTTGTTTCACAATTATTGCGTAAAGCAAGAGAACAGGACCTCATTCTGCCGGTGATCAACATCCAGACAGGTGACGATTTCACCGGCGCGACTGTCATTGAGCCGGTGCGTGGCTACTATTCGTCACCGATAGCGACGCTCGATTTCTCCTCGCTATATCCATCAATTATGATGGCTCACAATCTATGCTACACTACGTGGCTAAGCAATACGAAGATGCGCGAAAAACTTAATTCTAACGAGTTCATTAGCACCCCGTCGGGCGACTATTTCGTAGCGTCGTCGAAACGCAAAGGCCTGTTACCAGAAATCCTCGAAAGTCTTTTATCGGCTCGAAAGAAGGCGAAAATGGATCTTAAAAACGAGAAGGACCCATTTAAGAAAAAGGTTCTCGACGGTCGTCAGTTGGCGTTGAAAATTAGCGCTAATTCAGTGTATGGTTTTACCGGGGCGCAGGTTGGTAAGTTGCCATGTCTGCCGATTTCTCAGTCGGTCACAGCGTTCGGTCGAAGAATGATCGAGGAGACAAAGAACGAGATCGAAGCAAAGTACTGCAAGAAAAATGGCTACGAATTTGACGCGAAGGTCATATACGGCGATACAGATTCGGTCATGGTACGGTTCGGAGTGGAGAGTCTCGTCGAGTCAATGAAACTTGGCCAGGAGGCAGCCGACTATGTCACTTCGAAATTTGTGAAGCCGATTAAACTCGAATTCGAAAAGGTCTACTATCCATACTTGCTGATCAATAAGAAACGTTATGCTGGTCTACTTTATACGAACCCTGATAAACATGATAAGATGGACTGCAAAGGTATCGAGACTGTGCGACGAGACAATTGCCCTTTAGTAGCAAACCTGATCAACACCTGCCTTGAGAAGATCCTTATAGATAAGTGAGTGCAAACGGTGAGCTTTGCTTATGAGATTTTGATTATGTATTCTAGCTAAACGGGTAGGCACAGCTCCCGTCGTTCTATTCGTCGTGAGCAACTTTAGGTTATTTCTATGGAGGCACTTAGAGCCGGACTAAGCCGAAATAGCAATTGGATATTTTTAATCTAATAAGCTCCCGCCGACTGATGCTGTTCATGATATAGGGATCCTCAGGGTGCGATCAATTTCGCTAAACAAACGATTGCTGATCTACTTTGCAACCGGATCGATATTTCGCAGCTGGTAATCACCAAGGTATGTTAGCATTTTTGTTTGAAAAAGCCCCGCTAATTATATTGTTGCACAATAATAATGGCATCTATACTGATGGCCAATTTCCGCTCGTGATCATGCTAATTCGTGACTGACACGTTTTGGATTCAGGAATTGACTAAAACAGAAGATGAGTACGCAGGAAAACAGGCTCACGTAGAATTAGCCAATCGTATGATGAAACGCGATGCCGGTAGCGCCCCAAAGCTCGGCGATCGTGTTCCTTACGTCATCGTAGCAGCTGCTAAGGGTACAGCCGCGTACCTAAAAAGCGAAGATCCAATTTACGTCCTCGAAAACAATGTGCCTATTGACACACAGTATTACCTCGATAACCAAATCTCAAAGCCGCTGCTTCGAATTTTTGAGCCGATTCTTGGTGAGAACCGAGCTGCCAGCGAATTGCTCCGCGGAGATCATACACGGTAATGGATAAGCCGATAGGTAACACTGTAATGAACAAACACAGCCAGCTAATGCTGTATCGTAATTAGGCAACTAATATATGTACATATGTGCTTTACGCACCTGAAAACATATGGTCAGTTATAAAAGCCTGGAAGGTGAGCACTTGTAGAATAAGGTCACTCCTAAAATTGCCATATAGTACTCACGTAACATTTTTTTTTTCTTATCAAACCGTTACAGCTATCAAGTAATACATTTTTCTATATAGGTTCTGGGCTAATTTTGTCTCAATTTACGGTCGATGGACGTATGAATCACTGAGCTTTTGCTGACGCTTGTAAATTGTTATAGGTCAAAAGCTGTAGTCCATAGCAAGGTCGGAGCTCTGGCAATGTTCACCAAAAGGAAGGCTACCTGTATTGGCTGTAAGGCGGTCCTATTAGATGAAGTACTAAATAAGGCTGTGTGTAATCATTGTCGCGAGAAAGAAAACGAGATTTACATGACTGAGATGATGTCGCTGAACCGACTTGAGGATAAGTTCGCCAAACTATGGACCCAGTGCCAAAGGTGAGCCAATTTAAGGACAAAGATAAATTCGGATTTTCTGCTTTGCATTGTTGAACTTCATCTCAAGTATCTACATTCGACCTTCGAGAAGATTTATAGTCGTTAGCGTTTAGCTAAAGGCATACGTTATGCCTTTAGCTCTCGGTCTTTTCGAATAAAATGCCCTCACCGCTTGCGATTCGTTACTATACCTTGACCATGTATTTGATATTTAGCAGTCTACAAGAATAAAATCTCACAGTCTAAGTTCGATGCCGGCAGATTCCCTAGGTGTTTTGGAGCATTAAATGTACTTTCGTCAAGATAGTGTTAAATACCTTATAGCTGCATTGTAACATATGTTTACATAGGCACTTTGTATGCAGAACAGTTCAGTCGAGCTTCATACGGAACTAGTTCAACTTATCCTATTAATGTGTAACGTTTCGCATCTTCGAAAACGCAAAACCGTTTTTGCTACTATTGTTACTCCAATTCAAACAGGTCACATTCAACATAGAAGTTATCTGCTATCATGCACTGTCCTTACAGGTGCAGTGGAAGTTTGCACGAGGAAGTATTGTGCACGTCCCGGGACTGTCCTATTTTCTACATGCGGAAAAAAGTGCAAATGGACCTGCAAGACCAGCAGAAATTGATCGACAGATTTATACTTGATTGGTAATAAGGCCTAACGATTATCCGGGAAGATATTACATATGGGTTGGTTCAGCGACGACTTTATCGCGATATTGAACGGTGCTCAGGCTAATGGAGTTTCGTACCTAGCTTATCTCTCCTGGTACGCCCTACTGGTAAGGTCGCGTGTGTTTATGCAGCGACTGTTCGCCCTTCCATTAGACTGTGTCATGAGGCAGTAATGCTTTTTGTTAAATTGCACACACAATTAGGCACAATTGTGGTGTTCCGTGTTCATTGGCTTCGTATTATCATAAATATAATTGATAGTTTACATACTAAGTAAGCCAGATAGATTATTTAATACGAACAGCATTAATTGCAAAAAAGTGACTGTTTCTAATAAACCTAGAAGCTAAGCTGCTTTATGATTATTATAAAATGTTAGTGTATAAGCACGAGTTTGACCCGCTCGACGTTCCTCTACACGAACAACGTTCCATTTGACGCAAGGTAAGTCGGTTCTTTTGGGAAACGCCACCTTAACGATTTCGGACAAATGGCTTAAAGTGCCCTCGATGTCAAATAGTTCGAAGGTAACAGGACAGCCGTTGTTCTTGGCGACGCCAAAACTTTACGGACGGCCGGATCAGAGATAGAATTAAACAGGCCCTTAATGTTACTAACGGCTGTGATGAAGGGGTAGGTGTTGTCCAAACTTTCAGATGTTTACAGACTGAAATGCGCTAATGGACGATAAGATGAATGCCGAAATTGTTTGTATAAGCCGTAGGTAGGCTAAAATGTGATTCGATATTGTATAATACATCTCAGTCATAAATAAAAAATATGGATTTTCTTTCTTTTGAATACATTGGAGTCATTAAATCGCCGCAGTTCTAAAACTGCGTAAAATTTGTGGTACTACTTGGAAAATAAAAGGAGGCAAAGAATGTCTACAGTATAGATTAACGTTCCCTGCGTTGCTCGTTTAATCAAATAAATAAAGAAGATGTCTACGCTTCATTCCCTAAGCGAGACTACTTTTTTTCTAACTAAACAGCGTTGCTTTGGTGAAAGATTATTTTTTTCTCCTAAATTTAGTAATCCTATTTTCAATCTTTAAATCGTAATGGAGTTTTGGTTTTGGAATTTATTAAGCCTGTTTACCAACAGATACCTGCTTCACCGTTACCACAAAAAAGCCATTTCATGCGAGGATAGAGATTCGGAGCGGCTGAGAAGAGCATACAAATATTGTTGGAGATAAAGATTGATACGCTTCGTCAGCTATGCCAAGATATATACCTCCTAAGCTTCTGAAAGCCCTGTTAAACCACTCTAAATCTGGAATCAGGTCTAGCCAGCCAGTTCTTGATTTAGGTATGATTTCGCTGTGGGATACCAGCAATGACCGGTTACGATTACAATTTTATACGACATAAGACAATTTGTTAACTAGGTCATCTGTGTGTGTGTGTTTGGCTTATGTAGGCAAAAAAACAAAACGTTTCGTGTTTTACGTCCAGTACCGCCGTTAGGTATCCCATCAGACGGGTGGATGACACCCACCAACGAAACTATGTGTTTCCAATTTCCACGCTCGGATTCGTACCCAGACCACCACGTATATCTAAAGTTCACCAGTCGAACACATTACACACTATGCCATCACTTAGATAAAACTGTGTTGCATCTATGTTTCGAGTCTTAGGTCCAATATCACCGTTAGTCCATCAGACGGCTCGCTCCCAACACGACTCTGCCCACATTCGGGTTCGAATCTAGACCGGACGTGTCTGTAATATTAGCAGCCAAATACGTTACCCACTATTTCATTACCGGGATTGTGTTGCAAGGCACCCTTAAACTATAATTCCTTTTAACCATGTTTTTCCCCCTATTTTTACGCCTTATACTTGATTGAGCCGACCGAAGTCACCCTAAGTCCCAATCACAAACGTTCCGACAAATGCATATATATTAATCTATTCGCTACATGGGTATAGGTCTCTTCCTTCAGTTTACCAGCTGCTGGAAGAATTTTTACTTTTTTAGCGATAACCTCATTACCCGAACAGTTCATGATATGATTCAGCAAAAAAGCTGCTCCGTGCGGTGGCAGCAGTCCATTCTTGAAAGAGCGTCGCCATGGAGGCCGTGAATCAACAAACGATACAGGTCGGAGAAGGGGAGACTGTACCATCGGGAGGAACTCTACTGAGACGCTGATGCCGGACCGAACAGGAGAATATCATTGAGTGATTTCTGTGTTTATGGGAAATATGACGTTCTGTTAGTAGCACATAAGCTATAAGAGGTGCTTACTGTGTGAGCTATCTGCTCCATCGACACTTGTAACTAAAGCTATGAGGTTCTTCAACGACTAACCATAGTCGAACGCGACTCCTGGCAATAAAGTTACAGTATCTTAAAATGATGTTTGTGTAATCATTAACGGGAAGATGTGTTGGTGCTGAAGACTATTGAAATATACCGAAGTGAGAATGAGCAACTATAACCAAATGAAAACTACATGCGAAGTCATTGTCAATAAAGACAATTGACTGCAAGAAAGTTGATATCTATTCGCCCAAAAACTTGTCACATTAGAAACTGGATAAACCCGAGGAAACGGTGTTCCCGGCCATGGCCAGCTGGCTAATGTGATGGCAGAACTCCACTTAATCGGGCAGTTGCATTCGCTTGAACTTCATGAGCCAGAAGCTTCTCTTGTTGGAACTCTGGGCACGTCAGGATTTTACTGCGTATACCGTTTGGCTCTTAGCGAGGGTTGGACCCATCTTGAAGGAAGCTTTTCGGGTCGAACACAGACGACAAAAGATAGACTTGAACCACATGCTATCTGGAATTTTCCTCTGGATACACATCTTATTACTAAAACTTTTCAAAGTGAGCAAACCTAATTAAGCATGAACAGTTTTCTAATTCACGAATGTTTCTGAGCTTCTGATGGCTAGCACGTTTTTCCTATATCTTTAGAGTCGTGGCTTGAGTGCTAATAGAAAGATGTTTGAACATTAGCGAACGGGTAAATGCAAATACGAGCGAATAGATTCCGTGTTGGCCGTTAATACAGTGCTTTAGTTTGGCATATAGAAATAAACTGAGGCACATATATTGAGTATCCGGCAATAAAGTTTTCAAAATTTAGCACGTAATTGTAATTCTATTTAAGGATCTATTCAGCCAGGGTCGCTATAATGGACTGATGACTAGATCGGTTCTTCTTTGAACAGTGGAATCAAGGAAAAAGATAGAAGTGTTTCTGCCCCGTCAATCACAATAGCTTCTAGTTAAAAGAAACAGTCTTGCCAAATGAATCTTGCCAAATCTGCCAGAAACTTTTATAAAGTTTTTGGCAGATTTGGAAATGATTTCCAAAATGGAAGCGTCGCATTTATTAGCAATAGTATTTTCGAAGCAAAGCAGTACACTTTTAAAAAAAGTACTCGACGCGTTAGTAAACTTTTAAAAAATTGTCTCACATCCACGATTGCGCGGATAATCCAGCTGGATCAGGTCACGTGTCGTTAACTTCGGAGCTAAATGAGTTTGAAGTCCATTGCTGCCATTGAGCATTTTTCGAAGCAGTTGGCCTCTTTCATTCCGAACAACGCGTATTCACGTTCGGCTTCAAATCCAGGTTATCTCAGGTGTTCCCAAATGTAGTAAAAAAAAGACACGGCACCTACACCGTGACGGTGGCTAAACTCGAAACTTATAGAACTAATTTTATCACCTGATACAATAATTTTGTAGTTTTTTTTCTATACATGCTCTAATTCATATGTAGGTAGAAAAAAAAACCCTGAATACAATCCATGCGAGTGCTCCGTAGCATCTGATGCGTTGAAATAATATTGTTTCGTTTCGATTTGTTGCTTCATTAGTTAGTTATTAATGTTTTTTTCGCTATTTAAAATAAGTCTTGACTACCTAACCCCGTTTAAATTCTTCCCCCCTTACATATAGACGTATAAGATGGACATAACAAAATCGAGAATTAGAAATTTGATGTAGATCTGCGTTTTATTTCTAAATCAATTTAATACCTTTTCTGAATTCGATATATATATAATTCGGAGTGTGCACTCACATACGTGAACGTGCACGCGTTTCCTCGGTACGTGAGCAAAAAAAATAACAGATGGAAATAGACGGTTTGCGTCGGAACTAGAAAAAGCTGAATTGTTACTTAGCAGAAGCGCTCATTTCACCTTCGCAACCTGACAGACATCAAATTCGTTACCGTAAGCGCTGCTTTGACTCAATCGAAAATGATAGTTGATAAAAGCTTCTGACTACAAGATCTGACTGTGCTCTATTTCGCTTGTCGTCTGTTTTGTTTAAGATTGGCCTCGCGTCGTGTTCGAGGTCTGGCGCACGGATGTACTGAACCGTTCGGAAATTCTTGGCTACGGCACGATCCATCTGCCGAGTCGTGCTGGAAGGCACCATCTTGCTGTTCCCCTATGGAGACCTCTGGGCTGTAACCTAGAGGAAATTCAAAGAAACTTTTTGGGCGGAGGTTACCAGTTGACCAGTTTTGACTCGTTAGCCGCAGGAACAGAACGGTACAAATTGCAGACAACAGGCGTTGGCTACTTGTTTCTAGACGTCAATTTGATTCTTCGAAATCTGGCTAAATTCGGAGTCCGCACTAGCTGAAAACAGCTTCTTCAAATACCATAATCGAACATTTATCCGTATTCGTATATATAGACCATTGTCAGCCAATGTACGTCATAAGTTCTGTATATGATAAACGCATATTTTCAATTGTTCGCTGAATCAGGACCTAGTGATTGTTGTGAATCTTCGTTAATTTCAATATAAAAATACTACATCGATAGAAGATCGAACGTAGCTGTAAATTGTGTCAGGTGGCTTGCCCACGTACCCAAGAAATGCGACGAAAATGTTGCAGCTAAATCCCTGACATGTGCCTTGATTGGGTAATATTAAATGCGTTGAAGTTACTAGCGCAGTGTACCTATCGTCGATGATGTTGTCGGGCACCTTAGGCACCGCTTTAGCTAGCGGTTCCTTAGCGTTCCTAACGATCGGCTTGTCCATGTCATCACGATCACTGGGAACTCTAGCGCAGACCACGACGGCTCCCCAAACTAGTACTTCTTACAGTAGTCAAAATGGGCAGACAAGCGGAAGCAGCTTTAAAATTTCAACCGTACCATTTCGAGCGTGTGTCAAGAGCCTATTGTGCTACTGCGACCTTAGCAATCTCTGCGATCTCGGCTGTTGTTGTGATCCTGAATGCGAGCAGACAGTAACAAATGCATTTTCCACAGGTGAGCGTGAAATGGCGTCCAAAGACGCCAATAAGAAGATGATTGCGTACGTAAAAATTTGCGATAACTTAACTGGGCTTAGCATTTTCATGAAAATCTCTTAGAATTCGCCTGCAAAACACGCTTGCTACCTGAATTGATACAGCTGTACCAAACGCTTGTCTGTCAGTGAGCGAGCCCGTGTATCTGTTTTCTATAAAATACACTTGTTTCTTGCATCTAGCTGAAGTATTTTTTACCAAGCTCTTTGTTCACTATCAGCACTCTTCATTCAAGGCTCAGTCTACAGCTGAACTTTTACCCTTAACGCGCATACAAATTAATCGACTTAACTTTGTTATGGGCAGTCAGCAGTGATTTTACTGGCACAAATTTCTGTTTCAGATTGTCCGTGTGATCTTCCTAATGAGTATGCTGTTCCCTACTGCAGCCAAAATGATATTCTTATTTCAAATCAAACGCATCTGATCAAACGGCCCATTGGAGATCTTTTCTGCATTGTGGACGAACATGTCTACAAGAAAGACACATACACCGAAGGGGTATGTAGACGGCCTATTGCGAAATCCGATGCAAAATAAACAGAAAAGGAAAAAACTGACGGCTTTGCTATAAGAGATATGAACAAATACCGCAGCACATATATATATATATATATATATATATATATAGAGTGACAAAGATTCATTTGCTTAACTGGCTGATAGTTTGCAAAAAAATCGAGCTTTTGCCGCAGAAAACTTTGAGTGCAGCAGTGTTCATGTATCTCCAATGAAATATACTACAGAAGACGCTCGCAGAGGAAGAGTTCAACCGTAGGCTGAAACACCTAGAGGCGTTGGGCGAATACGTAGCCGGAAGTGACGAAGATCACGTATTGTCATTTTCTCGCGATGGCGGGATTCGTCAGGGGAACCGTATGAAGGTGCGGCTCAGGAGCGGACAAGTGACAAACTTCGGTATAGTTCTCATTCTAACTAACTAACAAACCGGTATAGATTCTGCTGCCAAATCGAGGCTTTCCACGGTATAATATTAATAATAGATGGCTTCTACTTTATCGAAAGTCGATAATGCTGGTGGGAGGAGTTGACAGAGAGAAAATATTGATATTGAGACTAAACGTGCAAAGAACGCGATAGATAGATATACTCAGACTTCGTTTGAGCTGGAGCAGATTCGCAAGTGAAGTGTTAATAAACACAATTTAAATACTTGCCGTGTTTGTGCCAATCTTCTAATTTCAGTCATTCCCTCAGCAATTGGTGGGGATACGTGTGACACGTTAAGTTTGGTGCGTTATCTACGTCCTCGTCGCACTCGGTGCCTGATCTCATTTTCATGCGATAGCCGTTTTACGCAGATGAGTTACTTCACCGATCCAGCGTTTCTTGTAACGGAAGCGCTCTCATCAACAGTCATACCTCTCGCTTATATTTGTTTATTCAACAAAGAGTGCGCACCCCACAGTACACAGGTATAAAAAACATGGAATAAAGATAAGGCTACGATTTCCCCTAGATTAGCGACAAGACTAGCTCTTCGTTAATTATTTCTCATGATTTTTACCTATTTTTTAGGTTACGATGTTCCAAAGAAACTTTTTTTTACCTACGAACGCATTCAGTACATGCACAGAAAACCTTTTTTTATTCAGACAGGCAATTTGCGTCCATATATATGTATATTCAGGGTAAAGCAAAAGAGTTTGGACCGTTTGAAGAGAATCTCTTTATAGTTAGAGTTTTTATTTTTTCTCTACCAAACTGGGAAGAAATATGCGAATTATTGCAACAATTAGCAGAATGTTAGGGTAAATATTTTCTGTTAGATCTGTTGATTGCCTTCAGATCGTGTAGTAAGGTGTGTAAACGTTGGAACATATGCTCGTAACGTGTTTATTTAATATTTTAAAGTCGCTATTAAATAAAGGTGTATATAACATAAGTCATTACTCCTAGTTTCGGTGGCAACAGCCTCGGTTACTGTTCAATCAAGCTCACATATTCAAATAAATCTTGTGTATTACTCTTACGATTACATATTATAGGACTTGACAGTGTGCTCGTACTTCAGTCGAGTCGAGTATCGAATCGTGCACAACGGCACGCTCGGCGTGCAGGACGTTTACATTTTTGTGTACCGAAATGAGCAACTGCCCGCCCACGGAACCGTGGTCCCACTTCAAATTGACGTCTATTTCGAGACGAAACAGGACGCCGCCGTCAGACTTAACGGCGGCCCAACTCTGCGAAGTGGAAATCCAGGATACATTCCAGGGAAGCCGATATTGACAAAAAACGGCGATTCGTCGACGCGACCAATGTCAGCTCCGTTCCGCGATTGCACAGATATTGAAGGGGGAGCAGTCCTGTTCGGGGAGAACCTAAATACCGTATGCCTGTTCTCCACATGCGAAGAGGTGGTGTATGACAAGTAGAATATACTCGTATATAGCACTACGCTGTCAGATAACAAAACCTAATAAGTAACCATATGAAACATTTACATACGCATCGTTAGGCGGAAATCGACGCCAAGACGTCGAGACAGCTGTCCTGAATAGCCACAGAAGCATATAAAAGTGTTATTTATCATGCGCAGGTTCGCGATAACCTGCCCACGATGCTCGCTGGGGACGGGTACGTCGGCGCTTACGGCAGCTCTGATCCTCGAATCAATGACGATTGGGTTGTTATTGACGAGGATCCGCTGACGCCAGGCGGTGCGCAAAACAACTCGTGCAGTTTCCGCATTAATGTGCTTATTGCTTACCAGCGTACACAGTTTCGAATCAGCCCCCAAAATCGAGTTGTGTATGTGCGAGCACAATATTCCGCCCTGGAGGACTTACGGGCACTCGTCGAAATCAATGTCGACTTCGTCGATATGAGTGACGATTCACAAGTCAAGTAGGTATCCATCGTATGTTAAACGTTACCGGATTCAGCTGATTTCCTATAGTTTGCAAAACGTTATAGCCCCAAAACAACAAACGTAATCCCAACTTAGTCTATGTGTGTCTGAAGCTGGATTTCGTCAATATGATGTGAATCCTTCTACCAGATCGAGTTTCAGTGAAGTTCTCTGCTTTTTGCACTTCGACAAATGTAACGTACTGCCAAGTCTCGACGTCAAGTTAGCGTTGGAATAAGAATAACGAATGCCAAGGACCGCTACCAAGGCAGAAATTAGGTCAAATTTAAGTTATGGGTTGATGATCATCTGATTTTGTGCATTAACAGGTATGCCGGTCCACCTGTTATCGACGTGAAGCTACCTGAAGACTTCTTCTACCCGTTAACATTTGGAGCCAGTTCAGCGCGCTCGACATCGATATTTGGCCGACCTTTTTGGCTGGGACGTAAAGCCGACACTACAACATTACCGCTGCTGCCATCTATACTCTACTTTTTTATATTAACACTATTGGTATTGATCACTTCTCGTAGCATTATTACTTAATCACTGGAATACAAAGGAAGTTACTTCTACGTAGGACAACTAATGGACGTTATCGTATATGAAACTGATGGTAACAATAGCAATTAAAATAATTATCAAGGCGATACGTCTAAATATTGTCAAATATTTAAATGGATACGCGGTAGCTGTGTTTTCTTTTTGTGCTGCAGTGAAGACCGAGCTTTGTTAAGATCATGACTACAGTTCGGCTTTCAACTCGAAACTAATTTACGCCCAAATATTTTTTGTCTGCATAGAAAGCAATCCAAGTATCGATGCGCCCTGTCGTAATTCATGACGTCCTCTCATTGTATCAAAACTACGCCTTCGGTTTTCTGCTCTGGTCTTCGGACACTGGTAGAAGCTACTTTCAGCTGATTATTGGTTGCATACGCAAAGTTTCATACATTGGTCAAATATAGATGGATTCTACCACTTCGTATCAGGCATTGTCCAACTGGTTCGCTTCACAATGTCTCAAGAATGGGAAGAAAAGGACTCAAACTGGCCGTTGCGACTGGGCCGGAACTGAGGTCTAAACGAAGTCTCTTAGAGGAACTGATGGTATTTGCTTTCAAGGACACATTTTTAAAAACTAAGTAGATCGTAAATTTTGTTGACCAAACAATCAACAAGTACCATCTGTAGCTAGGGATAAGACAGAGGAGAAATTTTCGTGTTAATCGCTAAAGCTCATTTGGATACATGATAACATTTTTTTTTGCATTACATAACACCACCACCACTAAGGTTCTCGAAGTTCATGCAGAGGGGGAGAATACATTAGGTTTCAGTATCTTCTGCTTTGATCAGCAATCCATAATCTCAATGAGAACGGCGCTGAGCCTTCTCCAGGTGGCAGTAGAACCCCCATCTTTAATTTCGCACTCGAGTAAGAAAAGCTTTCTTTCCACACGGCGATCTTCATCGGAAAGCGTAACACCCGTCCGCCTTCGATGAGGTTTCATCCGTCCACGAAAAACGGGCTGATAAACATTATCATGGCTTCTTTGCAAAACGAATAGTTTGTTTTCTTGCAGATGTCAACCGTTTATCATACCTCACAAAAAAGATGATAATATTATTCTACCTCGAAATGTGAAAATATCTAGCGAAAGGATAATCGAGGCAATAGAAATCCAATAACTTCGGTGGCATACTCCATATCGGTCAATGATGAATGAGTTGTTCGATGTTGAAAATCGCATCAGCTACTGTGGCGCTTTTTTAACGACTACAAACTTTGCTTGAATACTATACAAATCCATTTGAAGAACCCAAACAACGATCAAACCGATCGTATCCATAATATGCGTTATCTTGATTTCAGTTCAGTATAATGCTTAATCTTCGACATATGTACGTACCGCGTTTCGTGCTGCGAGAAGCCGACCTTATGGCCATCAGCTTTGCTTCAGAGATTGCTTATGAGAGACTTCGTCTGCCGGTATAGGCACGTATCAATGACTTAAGGCTTAATTTTAATATAAATCTACGGCGCCACATACGAAGGTTTTAGCCGCGCTAGACGAAAGCAAAAATTACCATACTTGCACCAAATAGCTGGTACTGCATTAAGTGTGAACACAGCCAATATGTAGGCTATGTTTTTCCAGCAAATTACGGCACACGTAACTACTAAGCATGAACAACACCGATAGACATAAGATAAACGGGCAAAAGTTTCTAGCACTTTTTTTTTCATTAAATAAAGCCAAGATTAGCTTTGTTCAATGAAAAAAAGGAAAAAGGTGTGTGTATATTGCAGCCATTGCGATATACGTTTCCCAGCTGCCAAATGATTTAAAAAAAACAAAAAAAAAAAACTAAATTTGACTTCGGACAAAAATACAATTACAAATCGTAAAAAAACCTAATGTACTCAATCAGAGATGCAAAATGGGGTGAGAAAACACCTAACGAACAATGAATTTTTAGCTTTTGTTGAAAAATATGATTATCTATTTGACCTAAAGGAAAAATCTATGTGAGTTCCATGGAGTGGAATAATTGATGATGTATCATTTTTAATACAAATCGATAAGCTATACACAACACGGGATCGAGCAATAGTAATTAACTATTGTATAGTTCCTTTGTACTAGACTTCATTTTGCCTTGATCTATTATTTTATCTGGCAACATGTCTGATTTGGTCGTCATATTATGACACTTATGCTGCAGTGCAGCGATTCCGTGTTCGATTGTGCCTCGTCTGGTCTTATACTGATTATATATACACTTTCCTTAGCTGTGGTGATATCTTTCTTTAAACGACCGCCCTAAGACGCCAGAGCTTGAACGCTCGACGCACGACTGTACAAGCCATATAAATCCCTATACACGTATAAACTTAGCCACTTATTTGTAGAACTGAACGGAAGAATTAGAAGCGAAGGTGGAACACAGTTATATAGGTAATAAGCGTAAGATTACGATAGAAATCATGTAACCATTTAGAGCTGTTTTATAAAACTAATTTAAGCAACGAATTTTACAATGGGGATAGGCCTTGAATTTGGAGTCATTTCTGTATTTTTCTAGTTTCTGCACATCCGACTGACAGAAGTTCTCTACAAATGAGAAAAATTCAATTGCTACAAAGGCTTTTTGAGGAACTACGAAACTACGCTGAAAAAAAGATCTCATAAAAACACCTGGCCAGTTGTTTCGGACACATACAAGCTTATCGAGCAAAATTGTGAGAAGCTCAGTGCGGCTGATGCGTATAGCTCATCGGAAAAAATCGGCGCTCAGTACAAAAGATAACGCGAATTCTATCCACAAAGCAGATATAAGCTAACCTTTCCTGGCTGTTATTTACTGGCGATAAAGTTCGTGCTATGCTAGACTATGCGCGTCCTCGTCAATGTTCCAGAACGAATATAGTATATAACAGATTTGCCTTTTTTTTTCTCTCTTTAGCTATGCGTTACTAGGCCACGATATAGGATCAAGTCAGACATCGTTAAAGGAAGTAAGTTCTAAGTGGAATTTTGTTCGAACTTAGAATCGTTCAATGTTTTGTCATCTACGCACACTTTCTCGACCCTCTCGATTTTCTCTCATGAAATAAATAAATAAATCATAATAAATTCAAAGCGTTCCATTTGAGAGAGTTAGGTACGTTAAGTAAGACTAAACGTCAGAGGAGACGGTGAAAAACGTAAAAAGTGACTATTGGATCGTATAGTATATTTCTGGTAAATTGCTACAGGGCATCGGGATGGTTAGCGCAATACGCAGAACTAACGTTAAGGCCAATTTAAAGTTGACTACTTCTATATATCTGGGTTGAACCGTATTCAGTTATCTGTCGATTAGAGCGCCCCGTTCTGTTGACTCGAAGACGTGCCTTACTGCTAAGCGTTTTCATGCGTCCAACCTCATTCCGACGACAATACAATGCCTAAAGTATGAAATTATTGGTCGCGTATTTCGAATAACATATTTCCGAAAATTCGACATTAACGTTCCCTGTTGAAGCACCTCGGTACGACGAGGCTGAACGTAAAGAGAATCTGAAATTTCTTATTATACAATGATATAGTTCCCGTTTCTTTAGATACAAATTAGCAAACGTTATAATACAAGTAATGTCTATTGTACTCGTAAATGATAACGACGAGTCGTTGCCGCTTCGTTACCCTCTAACGGTTGCTATAGGACAAGGTTGGTTGGAAACTGAAACTGTTAGAACAAAATACATTTGTTAATAGTCTCCCATTCTAGCAGACGCATGAGAGTCTTCCTTTATTTGATGGACTTTGTTACGTCCGTTTGACACGGCGTTATTAGTTTTATCTGTGAGATTCATCAATGATTTTGCCACAACTCTACGTAGATCGAGATGAGACACCATGCTATCGATGGTCTTTCTTGCCACCGCTTCTAGTTGTAAACGAAGTATTTCACCAAATCTCTTTACGAAACGGTTAATAAACCAACGATTAATGACATTCAGTGCTGACGTTCCCGTAAAGTCGGTCAATGTCATAACCAGATTTTCCACAGCAAACTTCTCTAGTACAAACATGCTTCCGGTCATCTGTAAACATAGTTTATACACAATGGAAGTAACAAATCTCTTGTTCATTCTTGGACTTCTCACATGCTAGGCTACGTTTAGTTACTCGTGCTACTACTACTACTACTAATGATTTCGATGGCTGTTAGCGTAAACTGCAAATATTTGCGTCCCTTGTTGGAAGCATCTAACAGCACACCCTGCAACCCGATGTTAGGTTTCTAACATTTTCTACAGTTTGATCTGCATTAAACCAATGTCAAAATTAAGCTCTAAAATCAACGAGAAGCACTTATGAATGTTTCTTATCAAGCGGTGCTGTTGCTTACCGTCAAACGCATATTGAGGCTGAGCTGTTTTACGAGGACCTGTATCTGTCCCTTAAGGCGGACTCCGAGCTTCATCGCATACACTGCACGTGCCCGCACGTCGTCTACACCAAGCTTCAGGTCGATTAAGAGTTTTTTGCCATCAAAATTCATTATTGCCCCACCTGTTCGGCGCAGAGAAGCAATCCCTACTACGGTCACCTGGGACATGAAAATAGTGAAAAGAAATATGCGGATCTCCAACAAAAAGTTATGGCTGGTAAGGCCGAAAAGGTAATCGGTCATGACGCTACACAGCGCCACGAAACGATCGCGCACACATGAATATTTGCTTATCGAATGTATAGATAGTTTAGTAGATCGTTCATACTGTAATACTTTAAATGTTTGACGAACGTTTTGGATGGAGCCAAGATCAAATTGTACATCAGGCAGGGTGAACGGTTCCAGGAGAGCCACTATATCATCATCAGAGGTGATGTCAGATAGAATGTTGTCCACAAAACTATCCGCATTGCCTATCTGTTTTTCATTTAAATTTCTAAAGGCAGGTATCGAATATAGCTCAACAAATGTTGGCTGGGCCATGTCGACGGGGTGTTCACCTAGGATCATTCGAGAAAGCAAACCGAACATGATAAACTTATTTGATAAGTTCTCATCTACTATTAGTAAGTAGAATAGTTTTTGAAATGTGGTTGTCCAGCTTTATAACGTATATAAATATATATATGTGTATATATATATATATATACACACTTTAGCAGGGTATTTATTGAAATGCGTTTATCCACTTCTCTTGGTAGTGGAAAAACTTATTCTTTGAACTTATTCAAAGCGTCGTTTATGCAACCTCAGAAAAAATTAGCTATTATTTAGTCTCTACGCGTTAAACGAACTTCCACTGAAACTGAAAACTTACTTTTTATCCAAAATCGACGGTGTGCGTTACTGCATGTTTTCATGCGGCTTTTAAAAGATCAGAGAAGGATCTTCCGAAACAAGCGGAATATTCTGCTGCGACGTGGTCTTTAGTTCAGAACGCTCGGGTTTTGATACACCATTTAATTTACGTTTTAGAGTAAAACATACTCATTTTAAATCCGGTCATCTCTATAAGCAGCAATAATTAGTATTCTCAAGCCCATGCATTTTCATGGCTTTTGGCCTACGCTCAGCCTAAAATTTAATATATATTTAATATATAAATATAGCTGCTAGAAACTTCTTCATGTAACGTATTTGAGCGACACTTTAGCGAGTTTATACCTGTCAATATCACTTGACGCATAGTTACTGGTAAGAAATTATTTGTGAATTAAAAAAAAAAAACAATATTTTGAATCTGGTTTCGGATTGAAGCGCAATGAATAACGGTTATATTGAATGAACACATGCAAACGTTTCGCATTTAGATGCAATTTTATAAAGAAAACGTAAAGGAGTAAGTTTCAACATAGGTTGCCGTACCCTTTATACGTATACATTTTTTTTCCCCAAAACGTTAATTTGTAGACCTTCTCTACGGAGCTTCATTTTGAGTTACTCGCCGCTAGACTGCTAATCATTTTGCAAGAGCTACTGAATGCACATTAGGGTTTGGGCTATTACGGCTCTCAGTACTGTTTAGCTTGAACTTATCGTTAGCATACTTACTAATTGCATGATGAATCTGTACCACCGCTGCTAAAATGAACGCGAGAGGTGACATCATTTGTATAGCGCGCACTCCGATAGCTCCAGCTTCAACTGTCGGCTAGTTGACTTTTCAAGGTCTCGCGAGTCGGGGCCAGATTAACTTAATGGAATGAGTACTAGGCCGAACTTTGCACGCAGTCGCGAGCTCGAGTACACAGAATCATAATCAACAAGGGCGTTGCGTGGCCAATCGCTGGGAGCATTATCCTTAACCTGTTTTTGAGCGAAAAATAGAAACGAAAATTGGTCAACGTGAGCGCAAATTAGATAGACCTTTATGCTAAACACAAATGGGAGTCAAGACATCGTCATTAGAAAAAAACTGATCGGTTACTTGTGCCGTTAAGATATGCCTATTTGTCGTGTTTCTCAGCCATCGGGCTCATCCAGTTGGGTTTAAAAGTGGGTCTGAGTGACCTACACGTAACACATATATATAATTGTTAGAAGTATATGGGCTCCTGACATCAGCTAAAACAATGATTGATGTCGACCATCATCCGTCGGACCGAACTGAAATTGCAACGGAAACGTTTGTGCTTTGCACCCGCAGATTATCGTGTATGCGACTGTCAAAACTTTCAATGTGAAGCCATCAGACGACGCAGGCAAGTCGATTGGACATTGAAAAGAGAAACTCCCTATCTGTTACGATGCCTAAAGTTCGCCAGTGAAAATAGAGGGCGAGTCTTTTCATTTTCGTGTTAAATTAATCTGATTTGTCAGCCTACTGCCGCTGCGTATGGGGAATTTTCGGATGAGCTCAACGAAGTACTAAAGGAGTGGTTTTCGAACACAGCAGAAATTCATAGATGAAATTATGGTGTATAATACTATTCATTCATATACCGTACTTAAACAAAACCTGTTATAAAGCGACCTAAAAGCTAGATTGTGTCGTAACATAGTAGAATCGTTGCAGATGAAGACAATATCATGTCAGCAACAAGGTAAAAAAGCTATCGTTTTTAGTAAAGCCAAAGTCATTAGACCGAATTTTGCATGTATAGCCTACCGAACGAATGGCTTTTTCCACTTTAGCGAGTCTAAGTTATAATAAGCGCAGTAGTTATGAATTAGAGTTGGTGTTACCTGTTTCAATCAAGGAAGGATGAAAACATGGCCTCAAAATACTACATATTTTCTAAAATAAATAAAGGGGACTGTCGAAAGTGGACGATGGTGATACCAAAACGAATACTTAAATATACATGACAGTATAATTCGATATTCAGCGTTAAAAAAAAACGGGCTTCGTGACATGTTTTTGCTATTCAGCTGTTAACTAGTATTCATCTGTACATTTACAGTTCTCTAAATATAACTGAAAAGCATAAGTTAGTCTAAAAAAATAGAAATACAGACATTGAACTCCTCATTGTGTTTTGTCATGTACGTAATTATAATGAGGTAAGAACGTTCGGAATATATTCACATGTTACTCAAACGTCGAATAGATATATAACCTTTAAACAAAGTTTATAATTTGCTCAACTAGTTGCTCTTTATTAACTTTTCATCCCAATACAGTTCAACATCTATCTGATAACGTCCAGTTCTTCTAAATGGTGAGCGTTATTATTCAAAAGAAATCCTTGAATTAGATCAAAGGTTCATGCTAACCCTCATAGCTGTTGATAGCCCGACCCACTCTGCCCGCTCTGTTTATATAGAGAACTTGGTGTTGCTACGGTAACATTTGTCCACAGGAACATTTTTGTTTGGAGCGTACTTGAGGAACTCCATTGTTTCGCTCGCCTGTCTGTCGCTTTATTTAGCTTTGTTTCTTCTCCTATTTATTGCGTGATTCAAATGTGATAGCCCTATGGCACAAAATATCGGCCAACTACTCAGTGACACCTAGGTGATTGTTTCGGTAAGCATACCCCTCCACGAACGATACCATAGTTGTGGTAGTTGTACTTGGCATATGGGTGAAACGGCATAGTAATGGTCAACTTGAAGCCGGTGTTTATGATCCACGGTGCCAGCGGGCCCCTGTTAGCCAAATGGCAGAAGTTCAAAGCCCATTATCTGGTAACAACAGGACTCGATCAAATGGTTAATATCTACGACCGTCAGGGTGCACATGTTGACAAGATAGCGCTTGTAGGCCTGTGCTCTGGCATGGACTGGCACAAAGATGGGGATACGCTAGCCATTATTACTGATCGGTCATCGTCAATTTACCTTTGGGACGCAAATAGCCAACGAGTTTCCCAGGCAGACACCGGCATGCGGGATACCCTCACGTTTATCGCCTGGGCACAAGCAGCTGCGTTTCTCGCCGTCGGTACGTCAAAAGGCAATCTGTTGATCTTTCATTATCGAACTTCGCGAAAAGTGCCCATTTTGGGCAAACACTCAAAACGCATCGTATGCGGTGCGTGGAGTAAGGAGAGTATTCTAGCCCTGGCTGGCGACGATTACAGTCTGACTATTAGCAATCAAGAAGGCGATACCCTGTCACAAACCCCACTCAAAGCGGAACCGTCCAAGCTGAAGTTTGGCTGTAACAGCAATGCGCAGACACAAAACATGGTTTCTTGTGTGTTAGGAAAAAAAACGCTATACCTTGTCGATATATATGACTCTGAAAATCCTATTCTCTTGGGTTTCCAAGATAGGTACGGCGTGATTGTTGACTACGAGTGGAGTATCGACGCATTAATAATTTTGGGCTTCGCTGAAGGCTTCGTTGTAGTTATGTCGGCGATTCCGAAAGAGATCGGACAGGAGCTCCGTATGGTGCGCTGTCATCGCGAGGGACTCGTCCATCTAGCAATCTGCTCTGAACATTCGAAGATTGCCACTGGATCTGGTACTCAGGTGAAGGTGTACAATTCAAATGATTTCGACGATGTCGAGCAATTAATATCGACGGAGGACTCAATCGAATGGTTGCAATGGGCTGACGATGGACAGTTCCTCGCCGTTGGTACCATAACACATGTGGCCGTTTATCTCACAAAGCTGCCTGTACTGGGCGACTGCCTTGAGTCGCGGTATGCTATATTGTCATCACTGATGGAGATCACAGTTGGAGACGTGCTGGAACCAGCCTCTGAGCGCGTAATAAGAATTGATATTGAGCCACTGCATATCGCCTTGGGGCCTTGTCATGTGGCGGTAGGAATCAACAACCGTGCTATCTTATATCCGACCTCCGATGATAGGAACCGGACAACAAAAGAGTTCCTAGCAACTGTAAGGCGACTCAAACTTACCGCGGACTACGCAGTCGGTCTGCTCGATAACAAAATACAGATTATCGGCATCGACACTGATGAGGGGAAGATGTTCAACAATGCAACTTGTCTCGATATCACAGACAACTTCCTCATCTATGGCACAAAACAGGGCGATGTCGAAATGTTCTATTTTCAAGATTTTGTAAACGTCAATCAATTTCGACATTCGTGCAAGGTTACCGCTCTATTCTCACATCCGTCTGGCACGAAGATGATTCTCTTCGATGAGGAACAACAGGCATTTCTGTATACGCCTTCAGACGATCACCTAATAACGATTGAACAGACACCGCCAATAATTGAGGGTGTCCTTTGGGATCAGCAAGTACCGCATATATTTGTCGTATTCGATAGTAAGCAGTTCTATCTTTTCTCACACACCCGGGAGGAAGTGACACTCGCGGACAAAATCAAAATTCCGTCCGGCATCAAACCTCTGGTTATGGCCGACGGAATCCTAACATGTCAGACTCAGAATGGTAAGAGTACGACATTCAATAGTCAACCTGTTGACAGGACAGTATCGGGTCAGGCACTGCTCAAGAACAACTTGAGAAGCGCCCTTAAATTGCGAAAGTTTGATGATGCGTTTAGTATTTGCGACAGTATTAACCATCCGGACGAATGGACGCAGTTGGCTGTGGCGGCCATGGACGATCTGAACATTGATATGGCGATTAAGGCCTACAAGAGGGCAGGCGACCTCGGCATGGCGTGGAGCCTCGAAAGCGTTCGACATGTTGAGGATATCTACGAACTGGAAGGATATATGTCGCTATTTCGCAACGAATTCGACAAGGCGCAAGAGTTCTTCGTAAAGTCAACTAACCCCAAAGCGGCTCTTCAAATGCGTCGCGACCTGCTTCACTGGGAGCAGGCGTTACAATTGGCGAAACATATCGCCCCGGAAGAAATGCCGTATCGGGAGTACGCTCAACAGCTTGAGCTTGTCGGCGACTATAACAATGCACTGTTGAACTATGAAAAAGGTTTGGAAAAAGGTGACGAATATTGCAAATGGGGAATTGCTCGGACTTCGGTGCGGTGCGGTGACTCGCGAAAGGGTGTCGAAATGGCACTAAAGATTGGCGACAGAAGACTGGTGAAGGAATGTGCCTCTATCCTCGAAACGAATAAACAAACCCTGGAAGCTGCCGTTCTGTTTGAGAAGGCCAAATACTTCGAAAAGGCTGCGGCACTATATGTGAAGGCTAAGAGCTGGGGCAAAGTTGGCGAGCTTTTGTCACACGTCACATCGAACGCGATTCTCCTGCAGTACGCCAAATTCAAAGAAAGCGAGGGAAGCTACAAGGAAGCTCTGGAGGCATACGAGAAAGCTAAGGACTATGACAGCATCATTCGTGTCGAATTACGCCACGGAAACAATCTGGATCGGGCAGCCAAGCTAGCACGCGATACCCGTTCTGTTCAAGGGGCAAAACTCGTGGCAGAATATTTTCAGGCACAAAATGACATATCATCAGCGATCGAGTTTCTTGTCTTCTCGAATTGTTCCGAAGAGGCATATGCTCTCGCGTGCAAAACGAAACAGATGGAGTTATACGCCAGCGTGGCTGAGAACGATTACGAAAGAATCGCTCAGTATTTTGAGGAGGAACGCGATAATCTCAACGCAGGAAAGTACCTCTCGAAATGCGGTCAGTACCACAAAGCGTTCAAATATCTGATGAAGGCCGCTGCAAATGATAACACCGAAGCGATTGAGATTGCGGTTGATACAGTTTGTTTCGCGCAAGACAAGGAGTTAGCGACGAAGCTGACAAATTTTCTCACTGGTGAAACTGATGGCATTCCCAAAGACCTCCGCTACCTGTGCAGGCTGTACATCAATGTTGGCCGATACAACGACGCGGCGAAAATTGCCGTCGTCATCGCAGAAGAGGAACAGGACTCAGGCAACTACAAGCTTGCTCACAGCATACTTCTGAGCATGCACAAGCAACTAATGGACAACGAAATTAATTTTCCACTCGAACTCATCAATTCTTTACACGTGTTACACAGCTATATTTTGGCCAAGATTCACGTAAAACGTTCCGATCACCTCCGAGCCGCAAAACTACTAATGAGAATCTCCAACAATTTAAAACGATTCCCAAGTCACGCCGTTAAAATTCTTACGTCGACGGTGATCGAATGTCAACGCGCTGGCTTAAAGGGTTGCGCATACAGCTACGCGACAGTGTTGCTTCGATCAGATTATCGAGATCAGATCGAGCCGAAGTATAAGGATAAAATAGAGGCCTTAGTTAAAAATGCTACAATTCGTCAAGCTGAAGCGGATGAGCGCTCGCCATGCGAGAAGTGTGGTGAACTGTTATCCAACTATCTATTGAGTTGTACCGAATGTAAATGCCCACTCGGCATGTGTATTGCCAGCGGACGGCATCTGTCTGGCCGTGGCCAATATACATGTCCCCATTGCCACTTTGTCGCGTTCACTGGGGAACTAATGTTGCTGTTACACGATATCGGCATGATTTGCCCGATGTGTGAGGGCGAACTCAATTTAGACCAAGTTATTGCTCCAGCAAACAGCGAACAGGTGCCGGCAGAACGATAAGAAGCATTTAATTTCTACTTTAAACGATTAAGTCTTCGAAAACGAGACAATACAGTTCGATACAACCGATCATAATAGCAACGAATCCGAGATGATAAGCCTAATGACGAGGAGGTCAAATTTGGTTGACTACTTTGACCGTGTTCAGTAGCACGTGCTCGTAAAAATTAAGCGTGTCTATTTATTCTATTGTTATATAAAATAACCTTTTATTCCGACGCTATGAAGCTACCAGTACACAGTCAAGGTTATTTACTAAGGCTTTAGTGCAAGTAAAATTGTATTTATATTCAAATCTAGATTTAAAGAAAATACGTAGGGCGCGACTATTCGAAAACATGCGCCTGTCCGTCAACAAGTTGGTCACGCTTTCGGCAATATGCTAAATGGATCATGCTAAAGGACAAGTTGTCTTTTATTTTATTATTTGCTTTTCCTATACTCCTCATGAGATATTTTTACTCGAAGTACATACTGAAGCATCAAATTCTCCACTGCAGAGAAGTCTAGTTTGATACCACAGATAGATAATAAAAGATATTAATGTCGAATTTGGATTTTGCCGCGTGCTAGATTAGCAGAGGAAAAAGCCGTTCTAAAAACTATCTAATTCAATAGGATATAATAAATTCAATAGGATTTTCCTTAATTCAGTGCTTTTTAATCTGCAAGATCTGGATTATGGTTTAACGGTATATTCTGGATAGCTTACCCTGCACTCTCGAACGTCTCAATTGATTGTAGTAGAATAATAATTAAAAAAGCTCATAAAACAAAAACCATAGGTTTAAGTTTACTACTATAAATAAGCGATCCCTGCATGTGTTGAGATCGTTCCGCGGATGTATTCGAATCGCAAAAAAGATTTAATTCCAACTGTACAAATCATTCTGTATTTGCTGATCGTAGTTTGTGGTTTGTACTCAGTCTCAGCTCCAAACTAGTTAATGCCATTAAGAGCTGCGTCAGTCATGTTCACGGTATCGGTCAACGTCTATGGCGCGCTTGCTAACTGCTACCATAGAAACATTTCGGCTGCTACAAATATGTATTACCCGTACGCCTGCTGAACGTACCGGGGTAGCTCCTTTCCACTGCTTCCGTCTAGGGATGCGGAACTAAATAAGTTTTGCATATTGATATTTAGTTTTATTACGTAGCTCAGTATAGTATTTTCCATTCCGCATTTAAGGAACTAAGAAAAATTTTAGCATCACTGTTATTAGTATACTGGTTGGGGTAAAGAAGTTTAATATCTAGCGGTGATTGGATGCTATGGTATTTGCCATGTGCTCAGAGGGCGGCAAACGAAAACGGAGAATGACTAATAATTATGCTATGACTGCAGAGTGCTAGTCAATTTCGGTGATAGATCCAGAGGAAAAACACAGATTTACTGCTGAAATCAGCTGTTGAGTGGTCGGAAGTTGTTCGATTCCTCCTTCTTTTAATAGTATCCGACTTGCATTTTTCAAATAGTTATTCTTTTTTCCTGTTGAAAACGTCTAACCTATTATGCAATAGGTCTTGCGAACCTGAACCTTGCTTCTTAACATTATGGGTTGTACTCGTACAATGCTATTTGTACTATTGACCAAAACAGAGTTAGTTCTCTAGAAGTACTAACTTTCTTCAACCTTTTCCTTGTCGACCATTCGGCAGATATAACAAATCCTATATCAGATCTAGCTCGACATAAGATACCGATATTGTTTTTCGATCATTTCTTTGACTCATCACATAATCTAGGGTATAAAAACCTAACAAAGAAGCATGGCGGGACATATTTGCTGTGTTTGTGTTAGATGACGTCTGTTGTCATGACAGCCGGCCAGTGAGCTTCATAGGGAAGTGTGGAGCTCGGGGTTCGGTGGAGTGAGCGCCCACGAATCCACTAACAACTGAATCTCCTCCGATCATCGCCTGCTGCTGCTGCTGCTGCTGGCGTAGTGCATGTGAATGAATAACAGATGTCGCTGGCTCAGGCCAAATTACAAAGGTGTGCACTGAGTTGGCATTTATACGAATTATTTTGTTTGACGGCGTGCTATTTTCTGACATTTCCCTAGCTGATTCATCATGGGCGACAAAGGTTTGTAAATTTAGAGTGGTAGAGGTAGAGGTAGAAATAGAAAGTAATAGAGAGCATTGCCTAGAGAACGAACGTTGCTATTTCTCTATTCTGTGGAAACATTGGCAATTGTTAAAAAATCGATTTTGTACTTGTTGCTTGGTGTACTTACACGAGCAGTTGCCATCAGTTTAAGCTAATAATATCGATAGCGACAAAAAAAAAAAACAAAAACGAAAATTAAATACAAGCGTGTGAAACTTCGTGAAGATATCCTCAACCAGCCTTGTGTAATTTTTTTCAGCCAAGGGAGCACCGCATCAAGAAATGGTTAGTAACCCACACAAAACTGATAATCTAGACATCCTTTAGTATTATCTATTCATACAATTCAAACGTCAATGCTGGTTTAGGCATACGGTTTTTGTTTACTGTGTGATCAATCGCCCAAAGTTATATGAACTTGTGCTTTAAAGTAAAGAGAGTAAATGTGAAAATATACAGTTTATTCATGAGATCACTATAGATTTCAATTATCCAACCATAAACATTATATTAGTCTACTTGTTTGACACTTGAAATACACATAGTTTGGCCTTCGTTTGTCGGTACATCTTGTCTAGCTTGCTGAACGTCAAAATTTTATAGAACGAATTGTGGAGAATTTCAGCAGACTACACACTTGTAATTCTAAAGCCATTTAAATACTGAGCTATCTGTGCGTTGGTTCATTTTTTTAATGTTTATTCCAGCTTTCGTCGCTGCCGTTGGCTATTTTGCTTCACTATGGCCGTATTGTGTATTTTGCGTTTTCCATGGTACAGGTCTTGAGCTTCACGTTTAAGGGGCTTCGTTTACCGTATCCGCCAAACAATTTGCTTACCGAAGTTTCCCTACTTCTCTTTCAGACGCCACTAGAAATAATTCGGTTAAAGCTAGGTGAGTGTGCACAATAGAGTTTTTGAGTGTTGAACCGCGCGAATCTCAGGGTTCTCACTAATTAATGGCTACTTAAAAACTGCACGAGAGTTGGCCGTAAAGTTCCGGTGATGGCCAACGCGGCCGCGGGGCTGGCAGCGTACTGTCGGTCCTGTGTTTCATAGGTTTTCGTGGGCAGCTTTCCATAAGTCGTACGTTCAAGCCTAAATATACGCACGAACATTTTTAGGAAGATCTTGTTAGCACGAGCTATTTCCACTGTGAGAAGAGAATGTGATAGTAGTGGCGAAGAACACATAGAGGTTTATCGGCTACGAAACCGAGCTGACGTTATTGCTTTAATAGTGGTGAAGAATTACGAGGCATCCCAGAATAAGGCTTGGTAGGAAGGACTTTTCGGAAAGACACACTTATAGTTAATCCTCAAGTAGATGCTGATCTTTATGTAAACCCTTATCGTTTGCCTATTCACGGAATTTCAGTTTAATTCATAGATTCTCTCACTAAAACGAAAGCACTCATTAGTGGTAAATAGAAAAACTTAAGCGATTTATTATGTGTTACGAAATAAATAGAGCTATTAAGGCACTCGTAATGAGCCATGTATTAGTCGTATTCAATTAGCATTGGTTACGCATATGAACCCGCTTTATTTTGCTTAAGCCCTTCCGAACAGAAGAAGGCAGTCAAAGGGTACAGAGACGCTTCTGTATGAAGTTCGAGGTTTCAAACTCAAGCCCTGGCATAAATGTCTCCTAAATTCAAAGCACTGCTACAGATGTACTTAGTTAAATGGATGAGAAAATGACGAAATGAAGAATCGGTGCTAGCTACAATAAATAAATAGGAAGTCCGATTCTTAATCCACTAATTCTAGACCTGCAGAGGGACATTCGTTCTCGTCGAGCTTTTAGCCTATGAGTTTAATATTAATAAACTATTTTTCAGACGGCCTCGATGGGTAGAATAAAAAAAGCTAAGTTATTGAAGTTTAAATAAAACAATATAGTCAGCACTGTGTCATTATTTTATTATTTTTAGGAGAACGCGGTAACCTGTCAGAAGAAGCTCTGCCATTGCTCTTAAGCTGTTTCCTGTCTGCACCAGCGATCCTAGCTGCGCTTTACTATGCCCTATGGCAAACGTTTGTGTTGCGGCTTGACGTGGTCGTCTCATCGATACTGATATGCTTTCAGGTAGCCCAAACCGTAATTGCGCTGGCAACAGCTGTTTCTTTTGGACGAGCTCACAAATAAGCCAAATAAATTTCTTGACGTATAGATATCTGAAGATATATAATTTTTTCGCGCCGTAAAGTAACCACGGAGTTGGAATATGGCTATGAATGAATGCAGCCTCCGGTAAAGGACTGTGGTATGGATAGAAGTTGAAGTTTTGCTGTCGAACTCGACCCAGAATAACGAACTTATGTGGATATCGAAAAATTCTATTAAGTCTTGTATTCACACAAATCATCCAGTATTCCTACGCCGTTGATAGAACTAAACATTTCAATACGACACCAGCCCGTGGCGAATTTCCGAAAGGTGAACTTAAAAATTTGCTTCTTCAAACTCCAAATGTAGACTATTTATGATAATAATAATAATAACATTAAAACGTTCATTAAACTGTTCACATGCGTAACTGCGATTAAGTTTATTTTCGTACTCTATAGTATATCTGCTTATATTATCAGTAATCTATGTAGATCACTCAGAAAATCATAATTATGACCTAGCAACCCTTATGTAAGCTCCTTATAGTATAATTTACAAGTAGTGAATGCCACCTAACCTAGAGATGCAACTAAATTTAAATTGAATTTTCAACAGCACTTGGTTCGTGAATATTCAGGCCGTGTATTTGTTCCTTCATGCACGGAAGGCTCACCGTAGCTATGCTCCGGTGCACAAAGCCATTACCGACAGGGTTAACAATGACGTTACCCGGAACTCGCGTAACGCTTGCTCATAATTTGGTGTCGAAAACCTTTGAAATAACGAATCTTGTTGCCTGAGCCCAGTCAGAGCGTTTTCTAGCCGCCTGAACATTTCGTCGCCGTCATCATTTCTATCATCATTGTCATATTTACCAATCGTATTTTTTACGACTGACTAGCATGGGGTGGTGGTTTGGGAATCTTTTAGATGGTGGCCAAGTCAGCAGGACCTAACGTGGTCTCAAAATCACTAAAGAGTTTGCATAATACGTTAGCGACTTGAATAGATTACGATCACGGACGATGAGGACCGGTGCGAATCCGGAGAACGAAGATCAAGGTTTATCTTTGAAAAAAAAAAGGAATCGTACGCCTTCTTTCTCCTATTTCACTATCTGCTGCCTATTAAATGAGCATGAAACATAGCTCCTAAGTATCAAATTTGTAATGGGTTATTTTTACCGATGTCTCTATTCTGCTCAGATTTTTATTCGACAACTCCCTGTTAAAAAAACAAAAAAGAGTCGACGTGCCGTTTGCGCTGTGCTGGTCAGATTTGATCACGACTGCTGTTGAGCCTGCGACATGTTAACTGGGTTCCTTCCAGCTGTGTTAGAATACCCCATTTTGTAATCTCATTACGGATGTAAAGGTGCCGATGCTAAACGCAGCAACCACGCAAATTAATATAGTTCACAGAGTTCGAGAATAGAGCCGGTTCGCCACAAACGTTACTTACGAGGTCGCAATAACGACCACCGACCCCTTGACGGAAAGTCCTGAGATGACAGAGTCAGGACGCTAGGCCTTCCTGCAAAAGTCGGTCAAATACGAGCATGAATAGAAAATCGTGGCAAAGCAAATTATACACGAACAAAAACTGTAGAGGCACCACGTCGGAGTGCTGCTTGGTCAGTATCGTTTAAAGTTATGCATGGAACTTTTTTGTAGAAGCATCGTCAGTTTAAAATTGTCGTGGTAATAGAAATCAGCTAGCGGTCAATGCCAATATGTCAGACGGCCTACGATAATTCCTTTTATTAATAATAACTTTTTCTGATTAGCTAAGTTTTATGGCGTTTGTTGCTATTGATTTCAAATGCCTGCCACACTAGATACGATCGAAAATAAAAAAAAAAGTGTAATGTAAAAACATCTTGACAAATGATCAGAAACGTAGTTAATGGTACATTCTACTTACGAAATTTTACGAAAACTTATCAGGCCTCGCGTAGAAGTTGAACGTCTTAAACTTCAGTATAAATATGAAATAATATTAGAGACAGTGAATCTTTGAACGGTAGGACCCAAATAGCCTAGTAAACGACTAAGAGCCTATTCTAAATCAACATAATTATATAGTTTTACCTGTGTCTAGACATTGTAATAAAGACTGATTAGTTAGTCGTACGTTACTGTACTGTTTAAATACACTTCGCATATCGTTGAACCGTTTGATTTATTTAAACGTTATCTTGAACGATATCGATCTAAAAGACGTCCCATGTACCAGAGTTTGCAATATCGGACGCAACCTTCTAAAAACGAGCTGATTCATGGCAATCGATCATCAATGAGTTTATCATTTCAATATAAATAAAAACAAATTAATCTTCTTCATATCATAGATCAGTGAAACTAACAATAGTTTCGTAGCCGATGAGTAAAAAGAGCGTCAAACTTATGTCCAGCCATTCACGCAAAGCAAGTTCATGCTCACAGACGAATAGTAAGCATTTATTTTTTGCTATTGATTGACGGATCAAGCCATTATGGTCATATTGGCTAAAAAAACGATATACAATATCACCGTGTCTGTCACGAGCTTACCATCACTGGGTTTGAGCTACGTGAGTCAGACAAATATCGGCGTCAAAATTTGTCTAACAGCGGCATGTATTGAAATTGACTTAAACTTGTTTCCGTACGAACAATTTCCTCCAGCCAATAATCCATCTTATCAGTAATAAAATTAACACATCGCTAAGCTCACATTGTAATCACACCGCAGTCTCCCCTTCGCGGGAAGCCTTCATTGTATGCCCCTGAGGCCGCCCTGTCGATTTTCTATTTTCGCCATCCAGCCAACCTTCGCCGTAGTGTTTCATTGTTCCGTAAATATTAAGAATATCTTCAAGCGCCCTAATATTTACCACTATAGTTTATATTCGTTCTACACACCACATTCTGACACATGGCCAATTGTCAATCGGGCAAGGTTTTAATACCAGAAGGTAGATAACGAGTCCTTGGTTTCTATTATCTGGCATAATAATCTCTTTTCCCTTATTTTCTACACAGTTGCTAACTCACAGCCGATCAGGCCAGTACTTGTTGATTGGACACGCGCCTGTTTTTCTTTTCTTTTTATTATGTGAAATGAATAAAGAACAGTGCGTACTGCAGAACTGTCGGCAATACAAATGGCAGACAGCATCTGGCCGGCCTTGTCTGTGTTGTGCCTGTTTCTATGCTGTTCTCTACTCGGTTCTCATTTGCCCGTTTGTGTCTATCGCAGAATCGCCTGGCAGCAACAGTGTCAGCGAGTGGCCATGGTAGCGATAGACCCGATGGGCCCTTATAGGGCGGCCCTCCTCACCAACGCCATCCTCGCTGCTTTAACGACCGAGCAGTTTTAAGCGTTGTTTTGCTACCGCTGTTGCTCCGAGAAGATTCCAAATAGACGCGTTTGTTCTATGAGGGTTGGCTGAATAGCCACTTGACTGTATCGCGTTACCGAAAGCGTCGCTGCAATTCAGCCCTTAGCCATTACAAACGACACGAGGCATCAGTCCGTAGCAAAATAAGCACTACCAATGACGACAGACAGAGGCATCTGCGAGGACGTACGAGTACCTCGGCTCAGTCGGGCGTCACCGGCAGCAACGGGGTAGCACGAACCAGTTTAAGAAGTCAACCAATATGGATGTAGTGTAGACTATGTGCTTTGGTAGTAAATCATTTGATCGAGAAAGACGGAAGCTACTATTAAAATTTAGGTCGGCATCATGGTCCCCGAAAACGTGTCTAGGTGATTGATACTGGGATCCCGTGTACTCGGGCACAGGCGATTTCGTCAAGCTAACTGTTACGGAGTCATTGTGAAAATCTTGAGTTGATCGGCGCCATCATCTAAGCTTAGAAGTTGCGCCAATTTTAATTTATTGATCTGTCATGTGAAGAAAAATAGTGAATCGGCGATAGTCTATGTATGTTCAATTATTATACATTCGTGCCGTGTTTCAGTCAATTTTCATCGAAGTTTGCCATTCAGGCAAACGCCAAGCTTTTAACGAGCTGAGAGTTCATTGTGTGTGAATGTCGTTAATCTGGAACTGTTACGTGAAAAATTTATGATGATGACGCAAATTTCTATCGAGAGATGATCTTCACACGCTAGAAATAGTTGTCGTGTTGACAATACAGTGGTGGTCCTTCCGTTGGCTACTACCCTACAACTGCCAATCGGAGAATTCGGTAACAAAGTCTCAGAATTAACGCAGCCCGGCCAAAAGTCTCGAAAAGCACAGAAGGCTCCTGCCCAGCCGAGGCTGTCTCTCTGCGTTAGGACAAGTGGGTAGGAACAGTTAGGCTTTTGCAATCGGTTCTACGTAGGTAAAACTCTACACGGCTCAACGACCGGTCCTTCGACCAGCTTCTGTTTCGAAGACATCACCTGTAGTTCGAGCTCGCCCGAGAACGAAGCCAACTTACAGGTGTTTTCTCAGGAACGTTCAGGACAACATCTTGTATTTTTACAAGGACAACGAAACTATGGTGAGGAGCAATGACAGCAATAGTACCGAAACGCACTAATGCATGGTAGTGGCACTAGCCTGATATTACTGATTGGTGATCATATTCATATCATAGTACTAGATGTTACTGTGAGCAAACATGCGCTTTATGGAAGTGGAAACAAATCCTGTGTAGGATTAAGCTTAGATCCGGGATGTGTGTGCGTGTATAGATCACTCCAAGCTCAGCCGACTGCCTTTTCAGACGAACCTGTTACTCTTTACCAAACTAAACGTTGTCAGAAGGACATCAGTGTGTGTCCATAGCATACAGCATCTGTAGTATCATTAATATATCTCGTAAATAGAAGGTTTTACGAGACCTTACTGTTTGTTGGTGAAAAGCAAATAAATAGGGTCATATCGGACAGCTATACACTAGCATTTTTGACCTACTTTTTAAAGGAACTTCATTCTTCATTTGGGCAATCGTTCCAACGAGCTCATTATGCACCTGAGTTTGCACTCTCTAAGTTCCATCTATTCTGTCCTTGTTTTTCGCTTACTCGTCTAATCCAACGTATGCTGATCCTAAGCTGAATGGAGGTTATCTGACCTTTAAACCTAAATTAAGTCCCGAATTTAAGGAACAAAGTGAATACTTACTTTTTTTTTTTTTCTAACCTAGTTACTTTGAAGGATGTATTAAGAAACTGGAATCCAGTTGGAAACAATAGGACAATATTAAGAATACAAAGAAAACAGGACAAATATTAAGAAACAAAGGCCTAACAATGATTATCGACATCACTTGCACCGATATAGCACAAACACAAGATCTATTCTTATCGGTCTTGCTCGTATCTCAGTATAAGTTTATTTGTATGTACTATATATTACCACATGTAACTCTACAGAAGCTGGCAGAATGTTTACGTT